AGACACTCATGATGCATATGATCTATTGTATCCTGTTGAATTCCTAAACTCTCTCAATGGAAATAATTTCCCTCGGCACCGACTCATTCTTAAAGTGGGTGTCCCTATAATGCTGCTACGGAATTTAAGCCAATCTGATGGCCTATGCAATGGTACGCGGCTGATTATCACTACTCTTGGAGACATGGTTATTGAGGCACGCATTATGATAGGTACCCACGCTGGTCAGACCGTCCTCGTCCCTCGGATTTCTCTAACACTAAAAAATACAAAATGGCCATTTGTTCTCCATAGACGCCAGTTCCCAGTTAAAGTATGTTATGCTATGACCATTAACAAGAGCCAAGTCCAGATGCTTTCTTACGTTGGCATCTATCTTAAAAAGCCGGTTTTCACACATGGGCAGCTCTATGTGGCTCTTTCACGTGTAAGTTCGAAAAAGGGGCTCAGAATTCTGATAGAGGACGAAAACGGAAATTGTACAGATGAAACCAAGAATATTGTGTACAAAGAAATACTTGCTTGTGTCCCATATGCCGGGCCAAGTACATGACAAATCGTTTCGAGTATTTGTTGATTGTATTATATGTTGATATACCGGTTCATTGTGTATGTGTATTAGCATGTCTTCCTCTCCATTTGTCTGGTCTGCTACCTATGCATGGTAGGCTTCATTGCTGTACATACATAATTACTGTCATTCCTTACACATTTATTTGCACCTTATTAACTTAATGTGTTCACCACAGTTTCCCAGTTTTGTCATGTCAGAGATTCATCTTCTTCCTGTTTTTATAGGTGCATGATATGGCTCGTACACCTGCCCCCACACTCTTAGCAAATCTAAAGCCAAGAGACATCCAGGCTTCTGTCTGTGTTCGAGTTATCAGAAAGTGGAATTTCACTGGTAGGAATGAGAATGGCCCTATCCTGCATACTGACCTCATTCTCACTGATAAAAGAGGTGTGGGTTTATAACATTTCCTATCTATGTCTACATTTTCAATACAGTGTAGCTGCTTATGGCCTTACTTCAGAGCTTTATGTACCTAGATTTCCTTTTGCTCCATGTAATACGCCTTTTCTTGTATAAAATTATTGCAGGGAGGTGTTATGTACGCTGAAATTCCAAGAGATGAAGTGCAGGAGAAAAGCCCTCTCATAGAGGCTGGCAAGGTGTACACCATTAGCAGGTTCAGGGTTAAAAACGCTAAGTATTCCTACATGCCTGTTTGTGGAAATAGCATGATTGAATTCACTTGCTACACTAGAGTGGTACTGGAAGATATCCCCTCAGACATGTTTCCACAGTTTGTTTATACAGTTGTCCCTTTCAATGAAATACATCAGCATGTAAGAGAGCACCCGACTTTTATTGGTAAGCTCCTTCGTAGATCATACACTCTAGCCTAGATGCGGCAGTTCCTAATATTCTATATGCTATGCACAGATGTTATTGGTGTTATCATCAAAGTGCATCCAGCAGTCCCAATGCGTTTACCAGGACAGGCAACATCGACTCTAACCCGGGACATAATTATTCAAGACTTAAAGTACGTTCTCTGCGATCATATTGCACGTTCGCCTTTAACTTTCACACCCTTGACTGCATGTTCTTTGTTTTGTGTTCATCGATTTCCAGAGACGACGAGCTTAGGGTCACGTTATGGGGATTGCGAAGCAGCCTTGATTCTATCTACAATGACAGTAATCCAAGGGCAATTGTCTGTTTATTTGTAGGTTGCGTCCCCAAAGAGTTCCAGAGTAAATTTTCTTACCATCTCCAATTTATTTAGCATTGAATTTATCATGCGTGCACCCATACCTGAGACATAAAAAAATTACAGGAGTATCACATGTGACTGGATACAACGCCTGCCACTGTATCTAAATCCTCCCATACCAGAGGCCCAACCATATTATAACAAGTGAGTGTCGTGCTTCTACACGGTAATTTGCATCCTTCATTATATATTGTACGGAAATTTTACTATTGACGGTTTCCTGAAATTGTAGGTTTCAGGATCAGCACTTCCCAATAGATTTGCCTCCTTCATCGCCAACGCAACTGCAAGAGGACGAACAGATTGTCATAGAGCACAAGTCACTTGATGAGTTAAATGCAGTTGATCCCTATGAGTTCCCTATATGTCCTATAAACCATTAAGCATTGGATTACTAATCCAAATCAATGCAGGTTAAAGTATATATACTTTTGGCCTGTTTGTTTCCACAGCAATCAGGCTTTCACTGCACAGTCACAATTACGGCTGTGCCAGATGACGATTCGTGGTGGTATCTAGGCTACCGAGGATGCAAAAAATCAAGTTCTGATCAGGTCGGCGGTGCGCCTTGGTGCGGTGGTTGCAAATCCTCATATTTTATGCCAAGGTAACCCTACTTTCTTAGCTCTTCATACACACTACACCTTTGTTTATTCCTAAGGTTGAGTTCCACTCTTAACCAGTCATTTTCATTCCCCGTTTCGCAGGTACAGATTGGCCTTCGCTGCCACAGACAACACTGCAGAGGGTCGGTTCTTCTGCTTTGATGGTATTGCTCAGCAGATCGTTAAGAAAAGTTGTGAGTCTCTCTTTCACCTTCCTAATAGAATGAGTGGCACACCTCCTGGACTAACAGCTATTGTCGGAAACAAGTATACATTTGTTGTAGGCCTAACGAGCGAATCTTACTATTTAAAGAATACAAGGGAATACCAGGTCAAGTATATTATGGAAGATTTCCAGAAACGTCTGTCGACTCCAAGGTCACTAGCAATTGAAGGAACCAGCAAGATTCCTCCTCCACCAAAACCCTTGATGCTCATGCCAGCTACAACCACTACGCCCAGTACACCCAAGACATCTTCCTTGATGATAGATGCACCACCTGCCGAGTCTCCTACTCCAACAAAACCAGTTAGTGACATTGTCGGGCCTGATTACTTTTGCTCCATCAGCTTATTGTTCAAATCTGGAATTACCATTCACAGACACTGATATCTGCTGATTTCCTTACCTGTGCAGCTCTCAGCGGAACTTCAACCTGTTCATATCCCTGCTTCATGTGGTAGTTGCTGAGTATGTGTCTCATATCAGAAATTATGTATATAGAGTTTGCTAGCTCATCGACGGTCATGCTGACATCGTGTTGTGATACAATCGTATATGCTTGCTATGTTTCTCAGCCCGACAAAGTCATCGACACATGTTGAAAACAAAGCTGCAAAGAGGAAACTGTTTGACGACCAGTCTACTCATAAGGAGGTTTGTCCTCTTTGTATTCACAAATCATTTCTTTTCCCCCCCCCTCAAGTTTACACCGCAAATGCTAATGCTAGAGTTGCATTCTCACACATGACAAATGTGAATACAAACTTCCTGTTAACTATGCTCAGCAACCTCTGTCGATGACGTCCTTTTCCTATAGGATCAAACGACCTTCGCTCAATCTGCTCATCAGAGTTCTCAGCAACTCAACATCGACGTCCAGATGACCGGACAGGATAAGGATACAGAGGAGCAACATTCTAAGGACCCCCTAGATAGCCGAGCAAAAAGGTATTCAACGCTAAGTATGGATCAGAAATTCACATAGTTTGCCAAATTGTTTACACCGATGAGTTAGAACATGAGGATATAGTCCTTCTGTGCAACTTCTCAGCAATGATAATTATGCTCTTCTTCCAGGCCAAGACCTCAGGATACTAAGCCTCATGGCAAGTCTGCTGGACGCAAATCCTCTTTGGGGAATCAGAAAAAGTGAAACAGGTTTTTAAATACATGCTGCCATAGTTTTAGAAAGACACCTTCGCCGCTCTTGTCGTCAGCTCAACCTATTTGCTTTTTTGTGCAGCTTGGGACATCCCTTGGTGCATCGCCTTTTGCATGGCCACCGCAGCGCCTACAACCCAGCTCGTCTTCAGCACTATGTACATTGGTGTTTACAAGGGCAGTTTGAACCTTTGGTGCCTATGTTGCTATACCGCCACACAAGACTGTCTTTTGTATGCATAATCTGTCCGCTTTTGCAGTTCATCGTCAGCCTTCTTGTATAGTCTAGGATCCGACTATCTAATCTTATGGAACTACACCTCCTACCTGCTCCTACCTGCACTGTGTCAGACTATATGGCAAACTATAAACTATCTCCGGACATATGGCATGCACTGCTGTAGTGTCTCTACAACACTACCCTATGCTTCCACCTCAAAACATTGCCGTCTTAATGGCATCCATCCATGTAATATAAGTAGACTTGCTACCTCTGCGCTGCATTTACCGTTAATTACTATGCTTGGACTGCAGCCTACATAAGCGCCATTACCTGCACGGTTTGATATCCGTTTAATCGCCGGCGCGCGCGAAGGCGCGCCTGATGCACTAGTTATCTAGAAAAGCTATTCCATCCTCCTGCACCCAGACAAAGGCACACAGCAAGAAGGCGAAAACCATGGTGCAAGACAGCAAGTGTTCAGATAATGTCAGTTGTTGTCGCATGTCACCATCCCATAGAAGCCTAAGAGCAGTCCACATGAACTGTCAATGACAAATGTAACATGAAAACATTTGCACTGTCCATGATGATTGTTCATATTCCCTGCACTGTGGCCCAAATAAACTGTTGACCGAATTGACAGTGCTTCTCCCACTGCTGCAGTGCTGCTTGAGCAGTCTACATTCCCTTCAGCATCCCACCTTGTAAGGCCCACTTCAATCTCCCAGCCTAAGAGCATTTTGTGGTTTGGTGACTATTTCCTAACAGTTTCGATTGTGATGCACCAAACGGTCTAGATAACCAAATGGTGTAATAGCCAATCGCAAAGCATTGAGCATCAGTACCATCACCGCTTACAAATCCATTATCTGACAATACGAGCTAATATCTACTACGCAGAGTTTTAAGAACTCCAGAACAGACTGCACAACTAGCCATCAGTTGTCAGATCCCATGAAACTGATCAAGTTGTTAGTATAACACTTCAAGTCTTCACCCATCTTCTATATTGTATGAGAAACAGCCATGGGCAATGGGTTCGGACTGACATAGGTGAGTTCAACTTTCTGGGGTAGAAGGTGGTACCGGATGGACATCTCCTCAAATATTTTCTTCAACTCCATAACGAGCTCAGACCTCCTGATGTTCTTCTCCCGGATGTTTTGAAAGTTCATGGTGTGCTGGACAGAGAGAGACATGTTGATCTTGTTCACATCCAAGATGTCCTTCAGGTTTACTGTGTGGACAGGGTGCCAATGTGTTGGTTTGCTCTCCAAGTACCTAAGAGTAAAAGGAACCAATGACAATTGATAATGTGAATTCTTCATAAATATGTGATTATACTAAGATAACTTATTCATTGCTGGTGTCATCTGCAGCTTCGGCTACCTCATGTCTATAAGACTACAACTATCTTTGTAATGTTATTCAGTTTCTCTCTCCCCCCTCTCCCTCTCCAATTTCCTCTTTTGTGGACAAATTTGAATTGCATTCTTCCCCCCCACTCCCTCTTTGTAAAAATTCAGCAAGGGTTTCCTTGCCCCCTGTAATCTTATTCCTTTTTTTAATAAATAAAGTACAAGCTGCCTAAACTGGCTGACATAGTTTCTTTCAATAAATTTAGAAGTCTGAAGTATAAATATGAATTCAGGTTAAGTTTGAGAATTACCCTTTAATTTTGGACCTTAATGCTCCAATGCTCTCAACTGAAGTTGAAACATCAATTGCAAAATCAATCGTGTCATACATGTTAGGGCTTCGGTAAAAGTTGCTGATTGGCTTTGTGGACAACACAGAATTCGGATAATATATCTTTTCGTTGTCATTCTTCAACAAAACAGTGGTTAATATATTCATTTCCTCGACAGTCATCTATCATCAGAGTACATTCATGTCAGCAACACAACATGGGAAATCAATGGAAACAGGTACCAGAAAGGGTGATCTAAAAGTTACCTGTGTTCCGTCGATAACACAGCGGTCACCAACATCAAATGGATGCATGATGAATACAAATATAAGGGCCTCAAATACAGTCTTGCATGCATTCCCAAATATGAATACCACAACCAGAAGCTGGGACGAGATGACAACAAGGATCTTGGTTGTCGCGATGCCCATCAACAGTAGCGTAACGATGATGATTATAATGATGACTATAACACTGATGAGGTTGTGAAGTTGCATAACCGCGGTCTTTGTGTCATTCAGAGAATGTGCTAGTGATTTGCGATCGAGGTATGCTTTCACCTGGTAGTAAAACAAGATCAGGAAAGCAAACAGACGTCTTCCAATACAAGCCAAATGATTTGCAATAACTACATCAAAATTTACAAAACGAAACATATATTGCTAAAAAAAATTGAACTTTATATTGCTAAATTTTCATTACCATGTATTGTGTATTGTTTCCTGTTTCAAGGAATCAAATGATTTGCAAGAAGTAAAAGATGGAATGACTTCTAAATGCAGAAGTAAAAAAGCCAGATGACAATTATTATGCTACCGCACAAGGCTCAATACAACGACTGCATCGGCGCACCAAATTAAAATTCAAGACACGAGACATGGGCCAACCAATAATATGTTCCTATGAATTCTGAAACAGAAGGAAAACAGAGATAGTAAATGCATTCAATTTTTTCCATTACCACCCAATTCTTTAGAGCAGACTTTTTTATCTTTCCGGTCTCTGATGCTCCCTCAAACATTGGAATCACCAGGTCCACCTCCTCCTTGGTGAAAAATCTCAGCAGATCCACCTCCTCAATGTGCCTATGTCAAAATTGAAAAGAATTGCGCATGTTGAGCCATGCATATGTAGACAAGAAATGGCTACTGGAAAGTTAAAGTCGTTCTCACTTATAGCCAGGCCTTGCGACATTCTTGAATATGGCATATGCTGCGACCTTGGCCTCCCATTCACTATTTATCTCTTTATCCTTCTGTTCCATGCCATCTACATCATCAAAGCTCTCGATGGTATTAGAAATGGTTGACAGCCTAGAGCTTCGGATTGCTGTGATGAGACCTCTCATCGTCCATGCTGAGACCTTCTCCTGACTCATCTTCAAGAGCTTGACAACATCGATCACCTCCGGCACGCCTTTCTCCTCCTTGTCCTTGGACCTGCTGATGCTGACCCGCCCAAGGCCACTACCCTCCCGCCCCACATTCTCCGCCAGCTCCATCAACGGCAGGCCCGACAGCGTCTGCAGCACGTACTGATGGAACACGCTCTCTTGGATCCGATCGAAGAAGGTCTTCCGGTGGAACGTGGACGCGACCAGCTTCATGAGGAAGGTCTTGACGAGCCAGATGACGGAGCCGATGAGCATGGAGGCGAGGAACCTGGAGACGTAGTTGAGGATCCTGGCGGTCTTATGGGAGCGGCCGACGTCGCTGTCGAAGAGCTGGGACCAGGCGATGAGCACGAGCGCGAGCCAGAGGCAGACCTGGAAGCTCTTCTTGAGCCCGAAGACGAAGTAGAGCACCTTGGTGCGCAGCAGGAAGTTGCGCTCGACGACGAAGACGAGCAGCGTGACGAGCCACTGGCTGAGAAGGTGGCCGGAGAAGACGGCGATGACCATGATGCACCACTTCCAGATCTCCAGCCCCCACAAGACGCGGCCCTGCAGGGTCGGCACGACGAGGCTGACGACGAGCAGGCCGAGGAAGAGGACAAGCACGCAGAGCTCGAGGCCGAGGCGGGCCCGGCGGCGGCAGCGCGCCGCGGAGGCCGGCGCGGGAGTCGTCCTTGTTGCGGAAGAGGTCCTCGTCGTCGTCGGCCTCGGCGGGGGTGTGCGGGGTGGAGATGCCCGCGGCGGCGCGATGGGTCGGGGTGGCGGTCAGCGAGCCGCCGGCGGCGGAGTGGACTGGGGAAGGGTGGGCGGAGTCCGGGTGCGTCGGGGTGGGCGGCTCCACGAAGCGCGACTTGGGCTTGGCGATGGAGGAGCGGCGGCGGAGGAGCGCCGCGGGGGGCAGCGGCGGGCGCGAGGGGCTGGAGGTCGGATGCTTCTCGGGGTTCTGCGAGAGTTTGGGTGTCTCCGCCGGCGGTGGGTTCGGCTGCTGGTTATTGCTCGGGTGCGGCGTTGGCGGCGTTGGCGGCTGGTGGTCGGGCGGGATGAGGAGGACGTGGTCCGCATTATTGGGCGGCGCGGTCGCCTTGGCCGTGGACGGGTCCATAATTCGTACGCCCCGCGCGCGGCGGCGGGCCTGGTAACCTGGGTTGGGGTCTGACGGCAGCGGCTGAGCGGCAAGCGGGGAAGCGCGGCGGAACTGCGGCCGGGACGGGAGTGGCCGATTTATTTGTGACGGGGTAGTGCGGCCGTGCAGGTGCACAGGTGCCGACGTGCCGTCGAGGGAACGGAGAGATGCAGGTGCACCGGTGACCGTTTTTCGAAGTTTGAGCGAGAGAGAAAGCCCAGGGCGCAGGCCCACCAGGTTATAAAAGCGGAAAGGATTAGAGGATGAGGAGGGGGGCCTCGGCTGGACGGGCTGGTGATCACGCTCTCGTCCCGCGGACCGGCACGCGTCCGGGTCGTCAGTCGTGGCGTTTGTCGCCTCGTAACCTCGTTTCGCCTCGCAGCCTAGGGCCGGGTTTCACGCTCCGACTTTCGGCGGGTGGAAATGGGAAGCAAAATCAAACCGGCCAGCGCCACTGTTCTGATCCTCCATTAATTACATTGAAGAGGAGTGATCATAAAAAATCAGGGATCGCTGACATCGCGCACCAGGCACCAGGCACCACTGTGGTCAGCGGAGTGGGTGGCCCTAGTCGTTTGCAGGCCAGATCAAATGTCTCGTGAGTGGCTGTGGCTCCGTCACTAAAGTGGTGTTGGATCCTGCACTAAAATTTAAAATTTAGGAGATATGTCAAAAAGATGTCGTATAGGGTGTTCGATACTAATAAAAAAATAAATTACATAATCCGTCAGTACTTCACGAGACGATTTTTTAAGTCTAATTAATCTATCATTAGCATATGTTTACTGTAGCACCACATCGTCAAATCATGGACTGATTAGGCTTAAAAGATTCGTCTCGCAAATTAGTCGCAAACTATACAATTAGTTTCGTAATTAGTCTATATTTAATACTCCATGCATGTGTCCAAATATTCGATGAGACAGCGACTAAAATTTAGGAGGGACAACCAAACACCACCTAAGACGGTCTCCAACAACCGTCACCCAAAATACAAGACTCGTTCATTTTATGGGTAGCGCTACAGACAAAGAGTTTAATACATATTTTTTGTTTTCTCCAACAACAGGACCCAAAAGATAACCCTTTCTGCAAATGGGTCTATAGGAGGAAGGATATTCAGATTTGAGTTATGCCTCTCTTGACATAAAAAAATAGGTCTTCCATATAGGTACTTTGTTGGAGGCTATAGGTATTATGTTGTAGATCCATTTTGGGTTTGGGTTCTGCAATTGGTCTCCTGTTGAAGACAGCCTCAGAGCAACTCCAATAGCCACTTTATCTCACTCGTCATCTATAAAATTAAGAAAAAAAACAGGCTCTAACAACCTCGTCATCCAGCTCTCAAAATAACGAGGATGCTATTCCATTTTTATCGCTCTCCAGAATAGGCGAGGGGGCGCGCTCGCCATCCCGCTACCGCGATATAGTAGGCCGGCATGCAGCAACAACAATATACATATATAGTATGCCATTCTAGTTCAATGCGGGGCCATCAGGTGGTACGTTTAAAATAAAGAGCCGGCTCTTATTTAGTTCCACCAACTTTGCACCTCCAAATTTTGCACAGTGCAAGATTCTCCATCACATCACATCACATCAAATCTTTGAACACATGCATGGAGTATTAAATATAGGTAAAAAAAATAACTAATTACACGGTTTGATTGTACTTTGGGAGACAAACGTTTTGAGCCTAATTAGTCAACGGTTGGACAATTATTACCAAATACAAACGAAATGCTACTTTTTGGATGTCCACAGTTTGGGCAACTAAACACACCCCCGGTTTTAGACAAGCTGCTGTGAAACACTTCTATCTTGAGAATCTAAATTGTATTGAAGAGTCGGATTACATATCTAAATTTACCTATTCTCTTGGAGATGCTCTAACCGGTACAACTACAGCGAGCTCCTCGCTGCCTCATCGAATTTTCACGTGCCGTTGTCAGGGGCAACTCTGCGTTATGTTTTTAAGTTATTACTAGCAATCATATTAGTACTTGTTAAAGAAAGCTAGCGATCATAATTAGACTAAGGGTCGTTCGGTTATTCAGGACCGGAGGCCGAAACCAATCCAGTTGATGAATTGTTATACAAATTACTCAATTATCTTAGCTGAGAATAGTTCGAGAGCATGAATGCTAGACAACCGAACAAGCCCTAAGAGTGTGTTTAGATGAGTTATAGATTCTCATAATAATACGGTAAAACACTTAGAGCATTCACAATCCAAAAACTACTGATTGGTTTCTATATTCAGTAATTAGGGTGTCAACTAAGCAAAATAGTGACGTGATATTGTAACTAACTAACAAGAGAGGAGGAAATGGTTCCTTAGACAAGTCATAATGTCCAGGCGAGAACCAGGATATGAAAAGATGTGATAGGTAAATGATATCACATAGATGATATGTGATTGGAAAAAAATTATTTTGAAAAAATATCCATTCGAAATATGATTTCGATACGTAATGTCTTTCATAACTTGGCAAGTATAGAAACTATCTCATAGTCTCTGTGGTAGGACTGCTCTTGTTCCATCTAAATGATGGGGGGGGAGTTGTATACTCAAATTCCCTCACCAAATTTTAAGAATCTCGGTACGTAACTCAAACTTGATAATAGGAAATATTATACATTGGCAAAGAACTTTTTCCCTACTAGATAATAAGGTGTATACTTAAATTCTCATGCCAGATTTTAAGAACCTCAGTATATAGCTCAAACTTGATAATAGGAAATTAAATGTTATATTAACAAAGGCATAATAGTCATTTTGGTCCCTGAACTATTACTCGAGTCTCAGTTTTTTATCTCTGAACTTTTAAAACGGCCGTTTTAGTTCCCAAATTCTACTTTTAGGCCCAATTTCATCCCACAGCTATGAAGACGATCGTTTTAGTCCTCAAACTTCACATTTTGTGCTCAATTTTATCCATAAACTATCAGAGTGCATTTCAGTCTTTAAACTTTTAATTTCAAACTCAACTTTGTCTATTCAAAAGAAAACTTTATATTTTAGACACAATTTCATCCATGAATTATAAAATGCATCTTGGCTCAACTTCGTCCTTTGTCTAGCACCACCCGCGATTTGAGATGGACAGTCATCATTCGGTACTATTGTCCCTAGCGTCGTCCCATCTACCGAATTGGATAGCACACTTTCAATATTTATATTCAAATTCTAAGATGAATATAAATATAGATCTAAATATTCTTAAATGTGAATTATTTTTAGCTTATGGATAAAAGATATTATTATATACACGAATGGTTATTGGTTGAACCTAACACTAGTAGCTAAGGAAAAAATTATAGATCTGCTATTGTTTCAATATATATCCATTTCTTCTTAAGGAATAAATAGCGTTCGAAGCAACTATAATTGCTCCCAAAAAAACATTTAGACGGATATATAAACGGTACCATTATAAGGTAACATTAAAATATAACAGCTTGGAATTATTAATAGCCACTAAAGAGTTTTTGGATGAATATCTCCGAACGCTAATGGTGTTGGAGGTGACCAGGTGCAATAGTGCAGCGTTCCACGTAAGAGGATATACAAAAGTTGAGTTAAAAATAGAAGTTTAAAGATCGAAATACGTTTTGGATGAAATGGAACCCAAAATATAAAGTTTGAGGACTGAAACAACAATCTTCGTACTTCTAGAATGAAATTGAGCCTAAAAGTAAAGTTTAAGGACTAAAATGGCCGTTTTGAAAATTGAGGGATGAAACTGAGCCTTGAGTAATAGTTCAGGGACAAAAACGACTATTCTGCCAGCGTTCCACGTAGGACGATATACAAAGTTGAGTTAAAAATAGAAGTTTAAAGACCAAAATACGCTTTGGATGAAATTGAGCCCAAAATGCAAAGTACGAGGACTGAAACGGCCATCTTCATAGTTCTAGGATGAAATTGAGCCTAAAAGTAGAGTTTGAGAACTAAAACGGCCATTTTGAAAGTTGAGGAATGAAACTGAGCATTGGGTAATAGTTCATGGACCAAAACGACTATTTTACCATTGACAAAAGATCCTTTTGTCCCTACCTTATCCACAACCTCTACATCAACCATAGCATGGCGCATCACATCGCCATCACCGCGTGTAATATCTCACGTGTAAAATCTACTTATAACTTAGCTTCTTATACGTGGAACGGGTCCACATTCGTGTAGCGCATGTATTATACTTTCGTCCTCACTTCATGTAAAAGGGCTAATCCAAGAGTGTTACGTTTAGAGCTAAAGGATTATAAGTTGGCTCTCACCCTTCTAACTTTCACGGTGCTACTAAAATCGGCAACTACAACCACACATGAACCAAACTACTACAGGCTATTAATAGAACGGAGCTATTACATGGTGCCTCAATCGCAACCCTATGTATCCCCTTCCCCCTATTTCTTGGTCTCGGACTATGCACCACCACACCACAGTGTATCACATCCTTGATGTCGCCACTGCACTCCCAATGGTTCTTCGATGCCTCAATTCCCTAGTTTGTCACCGACGCCACATCCGCCACACCCTCAACAAGTCATGTCGTGTTGCCACTAGAGTTGGACACATGGAACCCAATACTTGAACCAAACCCAAATTACCTGAATTGTCGGTCTCTGTTCGGGTATCGGGTTGGCCTCTGTCCAAGAAATTGTTTAGTTTAAATATTGGGTTAGGTCTAGGTTTTGGACCTCATGTTTATCTTTGAGCTTCGAAGATGAATCAAGTGCGCATTCAGCAATTCAGCTTCTATAATGGGGCTAGAGTTCCAAGAAGGATTCTCTGGTGAGGCTAAACTGGTTTAGAGTTAGGAGTTTTTCATGTATCGACCACAAAGGGAATCTTAGAGGAGGAATGTAGAATGACCATAGAGGTAATTGATGGACGGAAATTGCCTGTCGGGGTGACTAATGACGCCGGGTGTATTGAAGTATAAGAGCCATATCACCATTCTTCATTTTAGCAG